TCTGAATACTGTGTGTCAACCACCGTTCTCGGGGCTGTGCAGCGAGAATGCTGATGTCTCCCGTCAGTTGAGAATATTGTACTGGAGAGAAGTTTCCTCTGCTACGTCCATTTGCCGCGGACCGTTCACTTCGTAATTACCCCGACCAGGTTCATCCTCAGCTGCCGAACTGTGTGGCAAACCTCGACTGATCTAAGGGGTGCCCGCTCTTGCGTCCCAGAGGTGTGTCGGACAGCAAGGAATGCAGCGATCAAGGTTATAGATTTAGGGGTTTGATAGGATGATCGACCTCAATGTACGCTGTAGTGCATGTTCGCTCATCATGAGGCAAAAGGTTGATTGACGAGGACGGTTTAACTACACAAGAAGGCTTCCCGAAACGTTACAGTACGAACACTATGGATTGTAGATCAATGAAACGAGGTACCGGTCCGGATTTCTTCATATCGAGCCGAACCCTGCTACACATGTATCCGTCTAGATTAATTGAAGCCCGCTCGCCAACACTTGCCGGCTGCATTACGCTGTAATGAGTTCGTCACCCTCGTGATCATCTTCTTGCTTGCTGGATCCCTGTTCCTCAACCCTCGCAAGCCAACCGAGTCATGCCCCCGTGGAGCGTATTCTACGGGCTTTTCTCCCATTTTGGCCGATACCCAGTTCCTCCGATTTTTCGCCAACAAAGCTATTTTTTCTCTTTTTTCCTTTTTCTTTCTTTTTTTTTTTTTTTTTTTAAGAAAAACCTCCATGGGCCGTAACATGCAACATATTGCCGTGCTATTCCCTCAAGGTAGTCAAACTCTGTTTAAGACTTTTGCCAACATTGGCTCCTGGAGACTAGCATAACAGATGTTTAGTTGAATGGTTCACGACGCACAAAGACGATCTCGCTCCGAAAAGGGCACCTACACGGTGTGTAGCGTTTTCAGTATATATGTCGCGTAACCTACGATACAGCATCATTGAACCTCCAGACTAGCCATTTCAACCCTACACTACTGTACGACTGAAGATGATGGCACCTTACGCCCTCGAACTTTCTTAAATAGAAACCACGGGTGCGTTAGGCCTGACCCCATCTCCGCTTTCAAGGCGGCAAGGTAATTTTCGATGTGTCCCACATCCCACCCAGCTGACGTACACGGTCGCAGAAGAAACCCCAAGGCGTCTTTTTCTATTGCTGACTGCGCACAGCGTCCAAGCCATCTGTATTCTTCATCTCTTGGCCAACTCCCGATCGGTATCTGAGATCAAATGTTAAACTTCTTTCTAAGCACCGATGGTAGCGATGCAATTCATACCTTGTAGTCGAACTCCTGGATGTTGCTGAAATGTGCCTCTTCCAGAGCCCGTCTTTGTATGCCCTCTTGTACCACAGAGAACGTCTGTCCAGTCTGAGCCCCGTATTGTTCGAAGACTCTCGACCACCAGTACCAGCAGCTTTCCGCGTTCACTGTGCCGTCATCGCTCTCGATGAGAAACGATGGCTCTGAACTCTCGAGAATACCGCCTTCCTTCAAGCAACGATAAGCTTCACCCACTAAAAATCTCCAATCACGAACGGATCCAGTCAGGAACCGCATGTTGATGTAGTCGAGAGAATTGTCTTTGAATGTCCACGGTTCGTTGAAGTCATCGGTTTGGCTGAAAGAGAAGTCAGCATTGTCATGCAAAAAGGAGCCCTCGCAAATTCCAATTGGCGATGTCAAGAAGCAGGCTGCACTGACAACTCTACGTTCGGCGGAACATGTTGAGGCTGAATCGGTGATAGGTCGATTCCGACCACGAGGGCGTGTGGATGAGTTTCGCCAACTTCGCTGAGGTACGAATGTCAGCATTACTTCCTCAACGCTTTTGATGTGTACGGCCATACATAGCCCACGCGCCTGTCCCAGTCCCAACATCTAAGATTTTCTGTGAAGTAATGAGCACACTTGCTGAGCTGCTTGATCCGGAGCAACGATACCTGAGCGTTGTCTGGAAGCTCGGCGAGGAAGAGCTTTCCATTAGAAGCCTCGCAAAACAAGGAGTGGCTGACGAAAATAAGTTAGCCATTATGCTCCTCTGAGTT